GAGTGAATTGAGCGTTCTTAGACAATCTCTGTCTACAGAAACAAATCTTAATTGATCTAGACAACTCTGAAGTTTATCAGGTTGTCTCTGCCTAACACCCAGTCCTACCACTGATTTTCTTTTGAATATGATGAACTGTTCTTCCATCTCCAGGATTAATTACAAGATCATTCATATTAGCCCAGTATTGCTTAATAATTTAGGCCATACAATATGAATCAATATCTAACATACATTAGCTAGGAATTTATACCTACATTAATTAAGAATGCTGGAACTTACTTTAACCAGAAGTTGTAATATATTGACGAAGAGCCAATATAGTACTCTTATCCTCCAACATACTAGTAATCTTTTAATGTTATCCTTGTTTAATCCTGTTAATCTGTCTAAATTTCACCCAGGATACTTCATCTCTCATGATTCATTCCATTACTCTTCTTCCAAACTAACTACCATCTTCAACTTGCTTGGCAAGGACTTTGTGAGAAGAAGATTCATATTCAGTCAAAAGAGAGCTTCCTTTTCCTGAAATGCTTGAAGCTTGAGGTAGCATAAAACCTAATAGTGCTGTCGAAAATATGGACCTGTAACTGCTTTCTTTCTACTGACAACTTGAACACGAGGTGATGTAACGATCTCCTTTTTAGATAGTTAGTTCTTGGCAACGGGGAACGATACTTATCTTTTCTGTCTTCTTCTTTCTTTGTCTTACGATAGCTCTAGGCCTCTGCCTACGTTACCGATAATACAATACCTTTGTCTTCTATCGGAAACGCCTATCGTAAGCTTTCTCTAACTCATCTTCATGACGAGCACTTCTTGGCGTAATGATAACGTTGCAGTAAAGATAAAGATTGTAAAGGTGTTTTTATATTCGTTAAAGTAATAAGTAGGAAAAGTACTTAGAACAAAGCGTAAAGAACCTATCTTCCTCGACCTCATCGGCCTCCTTATATAGTATTCTTCCGGCCTGTAGTCATGTGACCTAAAGTGGTCACATGTGCAAAACCAAATCATAACAAACTAGTCATGTGACCAAAGTGATCACATGCTCAAAACCCATGACCTTATAGCAAGATCATGTACAAAACTCATAAACCAATCATAACGCAATAAACAAGTCATATGACTCGACTGAGTCATATGCGCGAAACCCATGACCTCATAATGAGGTCATGTGCGAAACATAAATCATATGCGCAAGGCTTACCCGCAAGGCATACTCGCAAGGCATACTTGTCAGGCGCATGTCCCATGACTCATACTTGAGCCATGTACGAAAGCATCACAAATCCCACACATAACAAATCATATGACCCTAATGAGTCAAATGTGTGAAACAATAACGTACCTGTGACTCATAACTATGCGTCACGTGAAAACCCTTTTCTCGCTAAGCCACATTCGTGACAGGTGATGTAATCTTTCTAATTTCAGAAATTGCTTTGAGCAATATAGAAAGTTGTTCTTGCAAAGCCAAGTCACATTGTTCTGGTCAGTGGGGCCATTAGGCCATACAGTTTGAGAAGAGAGTGGTATTGTTCTCAGAATCGAGTGATTAGATCAGTTATTCATAAGATATCTTGCTTGCTGGTTACATTTTGGGAGCTGTAATTCATGAATTGAATAGTGGATAGTCCTCATCATTCTCAGTTAAATGTTGTAGTTTTGATTTCTCCTGCTATTTGCATGAGTGTAAGGTACTCAGATTTACAATCTCTTCAACTTCGCTAAATAATACAGATTAGTTTGTATTCATAATGGGAACCTCTTTAATAGGAAAACAGAGTACTTATTGTAGTTCAATAGTAGCTGTATCACCAAGCTGTTATGATGAAGAGGTCTGAGCTAGAGAGATGCACTCTTGGTATGCACAAACACGAAGTGCAGATTCAGATAGGTGATTTTGTGAATACGGTCAACCAATCTTGGGAACTTGTCTTGTTGATAAATGGTATATTTTGATTTGTGAATTCAATATTATTGTTTCTTGTTGTACTTGCTAGTAAGGGAATGGCTGAAAATACTATTAGAGAGTTAGTTATAATCAATTTATTTCATCACAATGTAGATTGTAAGTTGACACTTTAAAATATTGTTTTACTTGAAGATTTTAAATATTTATTCAATATTATATTCTTTACTATCTACATTAGAGTCTCTTTTCACAAAGTTTACATTATTATATTTGTCTATCATATAAGTATTCATATATATTAATCATGTAGCTTGACCTTGAATATAGAAACTATGCTATGAATATAAATTGAACTCACATCTATAATCTGGTATACCAAGCTGTCCCCTGTTACAAACTATTTGCTACACATTTTAGATGTCAGGAACTATACTACAAGAAGGAGTTGTCCAATTGAAATAGGATCTTGTACTACAGATGCTCAAGAAGTACAAGATATTTTTAGTGTAGAAAAATGCATGTTTGCATTTTTCACTATTTTTGATTTAGAAAAGGCAATTCACATTGTATAAGGCTCATGAATATTTTTTGAGCTTAGGAATATATACTCTACATGTCTATGAAGCTTGCTAGTATGCAAAAAAAAATTCTTTAATGTTGAGTACCCATGTGTAGGTTCTAACAAAAATGCATTCATATAATATTATGCTTTTTTGAAAATAGATTAAGAGAAATGTGATTATAATCAAACTGTTAGAAATACTGGAATCCGATACCCAGAAGTCACCCTAAGTAGGGTAACCTCATCCAGAATCGGAATCTCTGGTCTCCAACACCCCCCTCTGGCCCCCTTACGGGGCCTACCCATCATCATATATATCAATCGCAGTTGCGTCCTATGACCATAATACCAATAAATTCAAGTTGTCAGAATAATACTGTATACGTCACCACTGTCCATCCAACCGGATCATGTTTGCAGGATATATGAGAGGGGACCGTTGGCTAGGTCTGAGAAGTAGAACAGAGTAACTCTGTCAACTACTCAGTAGGTTACTAGGCTTCAAGGATATGATACCATTTGCATAGGCAGTAAGTAATGGAACGTTTCAGAACAAAAAAAAAAAAAAAAAAAAAAAAAAAAGATGGTATTTAATGGTAAAGGATTTCAGCAAGAGACTAATACATTCACACCCACCCTACAATAGCTAGAAGAGTCTAGAACTCTGAGGAAGACTACTATAGAAGTCATTAAACTTCACGGAGTGTTGCAACTAGGTTTCGGAACATGTTGTAGTTACAAGGACAAATTCTGATACTGCAACAGTGATTGAAATCCTGTTACCCAGAGCAACCAAGGGTTGCTGATGGAGGGTATATTTATCAATCTGGTGGAATAGCTTTCTGTGAATCAATAGGAAGTCCTCCGGAAGACATCTAATGGTTGAGTCAAGAGTTCTGAAGGTTTAAAGTTAGGCGATCAAAAAAGGTTTGTGATTACAACTACCTTCGCAGATGCAACCTGCAGATGAAACTAATCATTTTATCAATAACGAAAACAATTGGAGCCAACTCAGTTCAACTTGAGAACTAGGCCACAAGTCTAAAGACTCTAAAGATCAGATAACTACTATTGAGAACAGTATAGTCCTGAGTTAGTTATATCGTAATTAGCAAAGAGGTTGTGGTAATTTTCAGGGTCTCCAGGTGTTTGTACCTTTCAAGAATACTCGACGTTGCGAGTTATAATTAAAGAAGTACCTAGTTGTATGATAAATAGATGTAGTCCGCAAATACTCAGACGCAGAATATAAATATCAAAGTGTCTCTCAAGCTTTTAGACATCACCAAGCAATGGAGAAAAGACCTTAACAATATAATATTGTTTTACGATTTTATTTTACTTTACCGAATTTACTTCGCTCTTAGTAGTCATAAACGAAAAGAGTGAACTTGAGCCTTCCTAGACAATATCTCTCTTCAGAAATGAATTTCAATTGGCCTAGACAATTCTGAAGTCTATCAGATTGTCTCTGCCTAACATAAACTAACAAGTTTTTAACATGAGTCAGAAAATATAGAACATATAAGTACTATAATATTATACCATAATAAGAGGTCAGAAAACTAGATCAGTGATAGAATTATTCTGAAATGTACATTTAAGAAGATTAGATATATATGAAAAAGGATATTATATTATAGTAATTTATCAAATAAACAATTCTAGTAAGATTCAGTAAAAACTTGTATAATTCAAAATATTTTATTATAATTTACATAAAGTTAGTTATTATCTTCTTAGGATTAAGGTTGTATTCTTACCTACTTTTTAGGTTTATTGTTTGACCAACTGTGGCTGATGTAACACTTTTTGAACTTTTACACCTAAAATCCAACTTTTTAAATCCCTAAGACTTCACAAACACAAACATAAATGTGAAAGAAAAACCTGTTTCTTTTTCTGCTTCAGTAACTCTTTGTGAAACAGGTTTTTATTTTCCAATTATGTTTGTGGTTGTGAAGCCTTAATTTAAAAACAATGAAATCTCAGGTCACCATTTTGAATGGCACGAACCATAGTACATTACAACAGTGTCCAATCTAGATAATTACCTACGAGTACATCACAGCATTAAATTCGTAAAAGGGCCACGAATTCTGTCACCAGGATCGTCCTGTTATGTCAGCAGATCAATCAACATACGGTAACTCTTCCATGGACCACGCACGTGGTTTGCAGGGCTCATGCGGTGGGGATCCTCCCCGCGGAATAGATTCGGAAAGCGGGGAAGGGACTGGGAGGTGGGGTAACTGTCGACAATTGCGATTTTCTCTCCTACGAGTACACTACTAGTACACACAACCTGACTCCAAGCCAAATTGGGGGAAACCATAGTTGTACAGCTGAGACTAATATCATACTTCCTAATACCCTATTTATCAGTAATTTACCTGTGCGGTAATACGCTCCTATATTTCAGATCCCATATAATCTGGGGAGAGATGTCAGGCGGTAGTATATTTTATCACACCCGAGTAGCTGTATCCCCAGATAGGATCACTATCCTGGGTTTCTCTCGAAATTGCAAGAAAATATCATATCCTAACTCTGGATAGCCTGGACTAAACTTTTTGGGGCTCTGATTTTGACGTAATTGTGAGTGAGTTTCATCGCCTCGGCCTCTTATTTCAAAGTGCTGGCGCCTGACGTTTCTCCCCAGATTTTAAGGTCGTACAGTTCTCAAGTACTGTAATTTACACTCACTTGACAGACTTTTCCTTCCACCCCTCGAATACTAGAGCACGAGTACAAGTACAGTACAGTGCTCGAGTACTGGACATTTTCTTCTTCGCCCCCCGCACGACCTCATCCCCCCTGCCCACCCATTTCCCGAGAGGATAAACAAAAAATTCACCACTCCCCCCTCCACTGTCCTAAAGTTACCCTTCACTCGGTCTCTTCCCTTCCCCCTTCCTGTCTATGCCGCTCCTCGGGTGCAGCAGCGCATACCATAGGCTAGTTGAGCTTTTTGTGTCGTGGTACTACTAATATTGCACCCCCCTCGCTGGGATAAAACCCTAGTATGGCCGACTTCTTCCCACCTTTTACATCCTCCCCCGGACGAGCCTCCCTTCTCGGTTTAGGTCTACCGCCCCTCTCCTCGGCAGAGAACTCCCCTCCAGCAGCCCTCAGATCCGCCCCCTCTTCTCGGTTCCATCGCGAGCAGCGGAAAGCTCTGCACTCCGCGCCAGATGAGTCCGACGACGGATGCTCCCCGCATCCCTCTATCTACGAAGCATCCCCGGTAGCCTCTGATGAGGAGTGTCAAAGCGATAAGGAACCCTTGTCAGTATGCTTCGAGACAGCAAAACCGCAGGCAGCCGATCTCCTCTCTTCGAATCCTGACGGAACATATTCACCACCAGGCGGAAGGGATATCTCTCGCTTCTCCGGCCTATCCCTATTAGAGACTATCACGGAACAGAAGAGTGCGAGTACACAACCGGAAGAGGGGGGCCAGAGGTCCTATACCCAAGTTCCGACAGAGGACGACGATGAATCGGAGGACGAGGAGCTCGAGCAGTACTATGAGTATGCGAGTCCAACGCAACCGCTGCACCCAGCCCTGTCAACATCTGCTCCGCAGTACACAGGTCAGCGCACCTTGATTTGTTCACTCTCCATCCAATCCGGAGGAAAACAGATTCTAACATTAGCAAACAGAATCGCCATATCCATCGCCTTCCCAAAGTCATCCTACATCAGCTCCTGCTAGCAACTCTTTTTTTACCCGCGGTTTACCACCCTCCCCTCGTCCCTTCCCCCATCAACCGAACTTCCGCCCCGCGGTGTCCATGAATCGTTCATATGGGACCCTCTCCTCTCATCCATTCCACCGCGCTCCTGTACTCGCCACCTTTCCTGGTGGTTACCCCACCGATAACATGGGTACGCCTGACTCGCTCCAAAGTCCAAGCAGCAGGAGCAGGGCAGGTAGTCTGCAGGAAGGAGGGATTTGGACAATGATATCCCACGCATTTTGCGCCTTCTGTTGCTGCGTTAGCGTCGGTGATTCCGAGCGCTGGGGCGAGCATCCTTAGCTGACGCACCAGGGGGCAACAATGAAGGATGATTAACTAATTGATGATTCTGTAAATGATCGAAAGAATGGCGTTTTTTCTGCTTTTAGAAGCTTCCTTTCATTTCCCCCTCCTCTTATACCCGGTGGCCTTTTGTCGTCTTTTTATGCTTGTTTTTCTTCTTAATAGAAAAGGAATGATTAATAACCATCTGGCGCGGTTGGTGTTGCCGGCGGCATTACAGTATCTTTCCTTTCCAATTCCGATCATTACAAGTCTATAGGTTTACAAATGGTATTAGTTAGCAGTAGTATTGGTAATATTAGTCGCAGTATAATAGTAGCAGTAAGTTGGGGCAGGAACGAGTGTTTGATATGATGGTGGAGGCCAGGGGGAATATTATAATGCCCTACTCATCACTTATGCTGCACCTTCCTTAGGGGCGGTCCGCAAGTATAATACTGTATGATATGCTGTTATATGAGTGCATTTCAGCAAGAAAAGGAGAAAATTCCGGGGATCCAGTATCTGGTAGAATAGCATCTGACCCTTTTTGGAAAATTTAAAACATTAAAACCCAACGAATATTGTCCCCTTAATGATCTGTCTCAAATTTTTAGTAAAATAAAAATAAAAATAGAAGAACAGTCCACCTTGAGATGTACCATACCCGATAGAAAGTTTTCAAGTATTTCTTGGAGTACAAGGATAGATCATGAATTCATGGGATGGAGCAAGGGTCAGATGTTATGGAAAAGTGGTATAGCACTGTATGATGTGTATAATAACTTATCCAAAAAAAAAAAAAAAAAAAACTACAAAGAATAGTTCATACTGGTATGACATCACGCATGACCACAGCCAAAAACTACTGAAAATTGGCTTTTTTTTTTTTCAAAAACTTTTCTTTCTAATTACCAGTTCTATATCAATTCAAACTAAAAACAAAATCAGAAGAGGAAAAAGTGAAGAAGAAAAAGATATACTCCCATCACCAAGTTGAAGTTGAATACCCAACGTGGCACTTTATATAGAAAGTACTTGAGACCTCAGTTCAGCAGTATAAGTAAAGAAGGAATGGAATTAAGAGAAAAAGAGCTGAAGAGAAGAAAAATAGATCAAGAAGTTATGCTAAATTCTTAGCTGAAATTTCATTCCACAATTAGTGCATCGTATCTCTCTCTTTTTTTTCCTGTTTATTGTTCTGAATTCAGAGATTAAGTTGCTTGATCTTAGTATATTATCGCTTCATTAATCCCCAGATATCTCCGATTAAGGTGAGATCAGATGAGATTGCAGGCCAGGGTAGAAGCAAAGTTAGTCTACATCCTAGTAGTCCAACGAACTGTAGTATAGACTTGACAAGAAGGGGTACCGTCTTGCGGAATACAGTTACACTAATAATAGGTACAGTGCGAAATGTTCCCGCCGGAGGGAACAGTATAGCAAAGCCTGCGACTCCCCCTACTCCTCTACGCTATAAGTTCATGATCCGTCCAGCTTAACAATACCTCCCCAAAACACCAGGGTCCTTTCTCCCCACCCGAATTTTCACTCCCCCCCCCCCCATATCCGAGTATAAATACAACCGACATCTGAGACCGGCTACTAATAATCCCCTAAAAAAGCACCCTTTTTACAAAGATGTTCAACGGTAGTTTCTAACGGGCCGAGTTCTCGCTTTTCCCCTCGTCTGCAGGTTTACTATACTTATGGAAATCTTCGGGTAGGAAGAGGAAATGAAATAGCGAGCGGTGAGAGATGAACAACCTTTTGTGCACCGGTACGATACAAATTAGCACCAGACAAAACAAGATATCCCAAATAATAAAAAATCCATCAAAGAAAAAAAAAAAGTGGGTCACAGATTATCACCCAGTTCTTCTTCTCCACACACTTTCTTGGGGGCAAAAATTGTGGGTTTTTGGAATGGCAGGTTAGTCGGTAATAGCCTGGGTTTTTGCGTCTGGTATGGGAAATCCGTCTTTTTTTTTTCCCCCACCTTTCCGCTACCCTCGAGGTGTTCGAGTTGACAGGGAGGGAGAGACATATTCGACTCCAGCAGTTTTTAAACAGATTCTCCTTCTTCTCCCTCTCTGGCTTTTATTATTCTCCCTCACACCGCCCCTCACTCTTAATGTAATTAATAACGTGCTGTATGACGGACAGCACCCAGTAATTTATCCAGTCGTGGGCACCAGTCAAATTTTCAAAAACCTCAAAAAAAAAAAAAAAAAAACATTATAATATTATACGACATTTAGTGCTTCTAGCTGATCAATCAAATATCCCCTCTACCACAATCAGCCAGCCCACCTTCTGTGGTATGGTACTGTATGATAACAAGTCTTCGCTCTCCACCCCTAAAAAAAACCCTCCCTCCCCTTGAGCAATCACACACAATCACTCGATCCCTACCACCCCTGACCGGAATTCCCAACACACTCCCGCTTCTCGCAATATTAAGTTAGTTGAGAATTTAAGGGTTCACGGTACTTTGTCAACCGGGCTGGGGATTGTCTTGCCAAGGCAATTCTACGAAGGGGGAGAAGCTCTAAATCTCAGAGTAGGCATCCGAAGATATCATAGTATGAATGGGGGAGCTCTTGCTATAACGTGACCGGTAGAAGAAAAACACCTGCACGGTTTGCTGCCCTTGAACTATCCTAGGGAGATATAGAGTGATAAATTCGGACGAAGGGATAGATAGGTGCGAGTAGAAAAAAAATGCACCAAATCGGAAAACCGCCGACCCCTGAGCGCCCGCAAACAACCCCAATCTGCATGAAAACACCCAAGATCGCAAGAGGCCGCCAGTGACGAACAAACCCCCTTGCTTTCAAGATTTCGCATTAATTGACTAGTAGGTGATTATGTCCTGAAGTGGCAAAGAATGACATTTTGGTTTAGGATGGGCTATCATGGTGCCGATGAGTTGTTTCACCCCACAGCACCATACAACCCACATCATACCATCCACACATCCACAACAAAAGTCATAAAGATGAGAGAAAATAATAATAATAATATAATAATAATAAATGGGAATGCATTATCATAACGACTTCAGTAATCAAGGAAATTGTCATCAACATCATCAACATCATCAACAGGCAGACAGTAAAGAAAGCGTGAACCCCCCTATCTATCTCCCCCCCCCTCTCCCCTCCCCCTTCACCATCCAACTTCCTTTACCCCCACCCCAACGCCCCGGCAAGTCCAGTCAAATCTCCACACAAAAAACACCAGACACCGGCTAACTTGATAGTAGGAGGAGCACAGCCAATCAATCAATGGTATGAAGAAAGAGGAGGAAGAGGGGGGGAAGGCTATACAAAATAGTTGATACTATACAAAAGCCATAGGAAACCCCATTATGACCTGTGGGAACATTAATGCTGAAAAGGTGCAAGAAAAAGAAAGCCGCCAAACCGACCAATCCCTTTAAAGAATAATCACTTTTTAAAAGAAAGTACCAAAACAAATGAGATTGCCAGAAATGAGAGGAAAGTTTTTGGTGGGACGTTAGCGATGCAAGTAAAGTAAAGGAGAGTGCGGAGCCAATGCTCCTGATTGTGCTTTTTTTTTTTAACGAAAGGTTTCTTGAGCTGCCGGTAGTGTTTGCGTTGGACCTTTATGGTAGATATTCTTCAAGTCTGGCGAAGGCGTACAAGGATAGTGATGTTGCTGCGATCTTGCCTATGCCCGGTACCAAAACCCGCGCCCCCCCTCCGAACGAGACAAAAGGTTTTCGACAACGAAACGATATCATTACATGTCTCTCTGCCTCACCACCTCCGTCACCTTGCTCAGTTCACGATCCTGCGACCCTTCTCCTTGACTAGCTTACCGGCGGCCCCTTTGGTATCCCTGCCCCCTGTAGTGTTCGACCTGACGAGAGCAGGAATCGATGACTTTCTCTTGTCGACTGCCAAGATTGGGTTTGGTGTATCAACTTTCTTCGGCGGGGTGGCAATATTCGAAGCTAGAGCAATGGTATTTCGCCGGGGTATTCCATTTACACGACTCCCCTTGCCCTTCACATCATGCTTCTCGAGAGAGGATCCGATACTTTCCCAACTATCCTTTCTTTTGATCACAGGAAGAATTCGAGCATTGCGATTAGCAGTTTCACTGTCCGGTGTACGAGGGGTCCAAGGTGGGGTGTGTATATTGGTTAACGGAGGGCTGGTGAAAGTAGTATTTGTCTTCACTGGACGAGGAGCTTTGAGCGAAGCACTTTGGCGGCCGCTGCAAACACCACCCCGTACACTGCCAATGCGCGAGCTGACATGTTTTGGTAACACCAACGACCCAACTTTCCCCGTTGATTTCCGAGCGCCCTCTCCGCAGCCCAGCCTATCCCTACATTCAAGTCTCTTTTGCGTATTGGTAATATCTGCAAAACTTGGACTTTTATGCGGAGATGATTTTTGAGTCCCACAATTAGCTCCCACCCCCTCTTCCTGCTCCTCGTACTCCCTCGGAGGCGGAGTCGAGGGTGTATCAATTCCACTCGTCGACAAACTGACTTCACTTGCATCAGTGCCATAGGAACTGTTGGATGCTATAATGCTCTTCCCCTCACTAGAAGAAACCAGGCTCCAGGGGAGATGGGAGTCAGGGGCTTCGTCGTCGATGAGCTTGAACCCATTATACTTCCTTGGTGATATTGATTCCGGTGTAGGGGGCAAGACATTCCGAGCAAATACGAACGATTCCCCCTCCCGCCCTCTCGCATTGAACCCAATGATTTCGCTTCTCGGACTGATCCTCCAGCTCGGTGTTTCAGATCCGCGTGCCATACCAATTCTGGATGATATCTCCCTGAAAATAGAGCTATCGCAGTTATCGGAAAGCATTTCTGCTTCATCCCCAGACCCCTCAGAGGCATCATCATCCCGCTCACCGTACATGCTTGCGAAGCTACTGTCACTCAGTTCACTCAGTCGCGGTGAGTCAAGAACAAAATCGTCATCTGGGGATTGACCAGTCTGTAACCCTCCAGGGCTATCGCTCATTACAGACGAGCATCTGTTTATAAAGGACATGTTTGACGATACAGTCCTTGATCGTAGTGGCGTATGGGTATCGATGCATGCAAACGCCGACCTTAGAAAACTTGAAGCATCTTTTGAATTCGATAGCGGGGTGTTCAGGTCGATTAGGTTCGAATTAACCGACGGAGAAGGAGAGACAAGCCTGCTTCCTGAGCCAGATGCGTGAGGGCGAAAGGGAGTTGCCAGACGGGGTGATGGTCGGTGAGTGAAAGGAGATACTCCAACTGTGAGGCAGTTTGGAATTCCAGATTTATTACCACAATTTCCCCCGTCATTAAAACTCTCATCCTCTTCAGGATTGAGCACTGGGGGCTCCGACCCATCTTGGCGTTCCACTTCGGTCAGTACCCCTTCTCGTTGAACATTGTTTCGTTGAAAATCATTTCCCACGTTCAAAAGCTTCTCCAACTCAGCCACACGATCTTCGTAAGTCGTTATCATCCTAACCGCGTCCCCTAACGCCTGATCACGAGCCTCTAGCTCAGCATAAAGTTGGTCGTTGAGTTCCGTTAGCTCGGCGTTCCGAGAAAGAGCGTTAGTAAGTTGATCGTGTGTTTTAGCAAGCTCATGTTCAGTCTTAGCAGATTTTTCCCGCAAATGATAGAGCGTGAGTTTAAGATCGAAATTCTCTTTCTTGAGCTTTGAGAGATACTATTTTATACAAAACATCAGTATTCTAATTTTTTAGGAGCGATTAACAATTATTACTCTACTGAGCACAATGAAGACAAACTAACTTGATCCATCTCCCGAGCACCCATTCCCTCAATTCTTCGATTAGCATCACCACGTCGACTTGGGTTAGATCTCGCTGATGGCGGTGTAGGCTTGGTAGGAGCCATTTGATCGTTATTGGTTGTAGGAATATGACATTCTGGTGTCCGTTCACCTGTAGATATGGGGGAGGTAACTTTCGAACCTTCGGCAAGCTTCTTTTTTTGTTGTTGGAGACGCTTCAAGAGCAAAGGCGAGGCGATTTGCGATATAGGGCGGGCAGTGATAAAATCGGAAGGGGAGGAGGCGGAAACCCGTGGGTGCTGTTGGAGAGACATGGCGCGTTTGTTTGCTCGTGTTAGTAGTTTGACGAGGTATAGGATGACTGGCTAGTAAGAATGACCATTGAACCGGAAGCTTGGTTAAGGCAGCATCAAAAAGGCATTAATTGGATTCCACAGTGCGGATATACAAGGAGTGAAAGGGGAGAAGGAGGAAAGGAAGGGAAAAACGAGAATAAAGGCCTGAAGTTAGGGTTCTTCGACGAGATGAAGAGAGATGCCCTAAGTGCAGCTCAAGGGCACTGATGAGATTAGTCAGGAGCTCCTTATGCATGATAACATGGTCACGTTACACAGCCGTCAACGGTGACTAACGTCTTTCTTCAGCCTCCCTCTTTGTTGCTGGGGCAACGAGCCTCATCCAAGCAAAGATTAACTAATTCTTAAGATAAGATTATCACAATCATAGATTAGATCAGATCAGCGGGGTTTGTCGAATTTGACCAGCGCGGAAGCTTTCTTCCCGTCGTTCCTTCTAGACGATTCCAGGTCGTCCGCCATTTTAGACTATCATATCATACACCACAAAGAGCCTTCTACCTCCTCGTGGTACCGTAATTTGCTCAACTCAGCCTTTTCTCATCTCTCCACCAAAGTCCACTTCCACTCAGTATCACATCACTCAGGTCTGCATCCTAAAAACCCCTGTCATTTCGAGTCTCGGTCACTTCCGTTGTCCCAACTTTTCCCTCACGCCGGAACCACCAGAAGATCCTGTTCCGACCAAACAGTTGTCGTACAGGGTTCTTACTGTTCCCGAGAAAGAGCCTGAACTAACTTTCCCTTACCTTCTAAAGTAGCCGCACTCCTATCCATACCATATCCTTTAGACCCCCTTAGTGACAAAAATGGTTCTCCACAATCCTAACAATTGGCACTGGGTCAACAAGAACGCGATCGAATGGGCTCAGGAGTATTTCTCCGAAAAGCTCACCGGACTTTCTGCGAACAAAGGAGAAGTATCTGCCAAGATTGACAAAGTTCTGAGCGTTGAGGGTGATTGTGATGTTTCCCAGAGGAAAGGGAAGGTCATTACCTTATTTGATGTCAAGGTCCGCCTAGAATTCTCCGGTGAGTAAAATTGAACAACTATACTCCGGCCACATCATCAATGGCGAAAAAACTCATCGGTATGAGTGAATAGGAGTCACGGCCGAAGGTGAAAAGGTTACAGGGAGTATTACGATTCCGGAAGTTGCCCATGATACCGAAGAGGGTGAATATGTGGTACGTCTCCGGCCTAGGGCACCGCATTATATACACCGTCTAATCGCTCAAACAGTTTGAAATCAATGTCTACTCGGACAACAAGGAGAAGCAAGCTGTCCGTGATCTAGTGCGCAACGATATCGTCCCTCAACTCCGCCAGGCTCTAGCTGGCTTTTCCGGTGATCTTATCGCTGAACATGGTAAAGATATCCAACATGCTCCGGGCTCTGGACCTGTTTCTGGCACTTCTACGCCAAAACCTGCCGCGACCTCATCGACATCTCATGCTGCTTCCTCGAAAACACAACCAAGCCAGACGGAGACAAGTCCAATAGTCAACACAGTGACCTTGAAGGATGATATCGAATTCCAAACTTCGGCTGACCAACTCTACCAAACTTTTGTTGACCCTCAGAGAGTAGCCGCATTTACTCGGGCACCACCGTCGGAATTTGAGCCAAGGGAGGGGGGTAAATTTAGTCTGTTCGGTAGGAACGTGGAGGGCCAATTCAAACAACTGGATAAAGATAAGAAAATCGTCCAAACATGGAGGCTGGCCGACTGGCCAAAAGGTAAGCCCAGGACTGCTACCGACATCGTAACCCCCTTCCCCCGTTGTCATCGATAGATGAAAGTGCGAAATGGTTGGGTATGCTCCTTCTCTGCCGTTATGCTCATCGATGCGCTCAACATAGGTCACTACTCAACCCTCACCCTTGTGTTCGACCAAAGCACAAATTCCACCGTGTTAAGGCTCAGCTGGGATGGTGTTCCCGTCGGCCAGGAAGATGTCACCAAGAGAAACTTTGGAGACTATTATGTCAGGAGCATCAAGACAACATTTGGGTATGGAAACACCATCCCCTTATTCATTTTCTCCGTTTTCCCCCATTGCTTTAAGCTGCGTTCCTTTGGTTGGCTTTATGTTGTTGGCACGGCGTCATGTTCCCATGATAAGATTCCAGAAGAGTTGTACGAGAAATATGAGGGAGGTGTATGGGCAACGCTATCATGCTGAGAGATGATGCTGACTGATGGTAATCTCCGGGCTGTCCGGAGGAGGTGGTCGGGCAAAATAGTTTCGGTGCCGTTCTGTAAAAAGATGATGTCTCTAGATTTGAGCTAAGCGATGAAAGTGCGTATACCTCCGTTGACAAGATGGATCCGGTTAAGTGGTTTGGAAAGGGAGGGAATGGGGGGGGCTTGGTTATGGAGGCGGAAAAGCTGGGGAAGTGCTGGAAATGATAACGCGGAATGTTATGAACTTCAATGCAATAAACCTTCTTTCCAATAAAAGGTTTTTTAAAAAAAAGGAAAAGAAAAAGAAAAAGAAAAAGAAAAGAAAAGAAAGAAAAATGGCGGATCTAAGCCAGGAATGCCGAAGGCACAATAATTGATGCACGAGCACCTACGAGTACTCGAGTAATGGTAGACAGGGCTATGATATCAAAACTGCAAATCAGTGATGTGCTTATCGTAGATCAGAACAAGCATTTCTGATGACGGAACCCCTCGATATGCAAGGAAGCTTCGCTCCTAGAACTATGCATAGTTTCTTTGCTTATTTTTTTATTTTTTTCTCTTACAGTACTTGCTTTTGTGCACCCGTCAGACGGGGCTCATGCGGAATGAGGAGGTGCCAAAGTACCGTACGCTGTGCGGTAGACGAGTAGACAAGTACTAGTACAAGTACTCGTGCTTGTAGCCCCTACCGGCACCTTCTTCTGCTCGTGCGAAGACTTCCGCCAGTCTGCCATCCCCCCCTTCTCTCTGTGTCCAGGAATGAATGATACGAGTGGGTAACAGCGCCGGCACTGTAAGCAAAAGCCTTGCAGAGTCAAATTAAGGTTCTGTTAAATCGAAGCTTTGCGATGCACCGCCCCCCATCCCCACTCGTCCCCTTACGCCTTGGTTGCGACGAGCCCGGACCCGGATACGATGAAGGGGATGTTTAAAACAAAACCAAAAAAAAGAAAAACCCCTTCAATCCACGAGGGCGTAAGCCGGATCGCATAAATCTTTAATCAAATTTGAGGAAAAGGAAGGAAGCAATCAATCAAGCAAGCAGGTAGTAGGTAGGCAGACAGGTAGGTAAGAAAAGAAAAACAGCTGGATAAACCAAAACTTACCAACATCACCATCATCATCATCATCATCATCATCATCATCATCATCATCATCACGGTGAGTGTGACACTCGTACACCGAACCTCCACCCTATTTATTTATCTATTATAACCGGTACAGGAAACTGTTCGGAACCAACTCGTAATCATAAAGCAATGGTGAAACCAGGGTGGGAAGGAGTTCATCATTTTCAACCATTAACTTTACCCGAATCCGGCACCCAACTTAGTGTGAGTGCTTAGTGAGCAACAGACCCACGAAAACAACAGGTTGAGCTAAGATTATAATTTAACAGTTTGCAGCGGAAAGAGAGAGGGAGAGGAAGAGCACGGCACCAAAAAGTTGAAACGAAATGTTAGTTTTTTGTGACGCCCCTCCCCCTCCTTCCTCCCCCGGCCGGCGTCTACGCGAGGCCTTTTCAGGAGTGTGATTAGAGGAGAGGGAAAAAAGTTTCATGCCGACGACAAGTAACAACAACGACGACGGACGGACGGTGATCCCGAGCCGCCGTGGCAGTTGTGTCTGGGGGTACGGTACTGCACGGCAGGCGTTTATCGTGTCCGAGTACTTGTAGACCCCCATCTATCCATTCATCCATCCATTCATTCATCGCTATGATACGGTAACGCACCGGATACGACGGGGGGCTTTGTTGGAAGGTGAGTTATTGGTCGACGGTGTTTGTCGCTTGCGCTGGCCTGCGGTCCGGGGTGGCGCTCGTGATTCGCGCATCATAACTCGAAGTCCTGGGGCAGGCGTATTACCCCAGGTGTACTGTACCCATCTGCCATACCGGTGATTGATAAGGATTTTATGATGTGGATATTATGACACGAACTATGATTATTTTATCTATTCTTTTCACCTCCTCACCTCGTTTATGATACTGGTGGCAAACGAATCAATCTATTCGTCAGGAAGGTGCAAGTAAATTAATGAGAAGACACCGGATATCGGTGTACCATTGTTGAATATTATTATCGAAATTTCGAACAAGTCACCACTTTTCTTACTTTTTTACTTCTGCCTCCCCCCCTTCCTCCTGCTTCTACCTTCCTCGGTGCCTTGCACGCCGGCTTGCGAATGCCGAATAGAGAATAAATTCAACCAGCTAGCCTTTTCACAGCCCCTTGACATGTCAATCCCCGATAAATGAGCTATGGGTCAAAAGGCCCGCGTTGTCCAAATCTGAATTGTTTCTCCCCTCGGGAAGACAATACTGTACAATATGACTGGATCATTCGTTATCAAATGAGATTTGTGGCTGGCGAACCGCATGGTGGCGACCGGACCCCCCCCCCCGCACCTCCCAGCAGGAAAGAAATGGAGGAAAGGATTAAGGTAAAATATTGCGCTGACTGGGAAATACTCACAGGCGAGCGCTAGGCGTCTTGTCACCATGCCATTCGCCAGCCAGCTGATGACCCGAGGAATGATTGGCTGATGAAAAAGAAAAAAGAAAAAAGGAGTGACTTCATACGATTCACCGTATCATAACCGGTACAGTACCGTAGGCAATTCGAGGAGGAGAGGGTAAACCATTGATGGTGATCCTGGTTTGCATTCTTACCCTTTTTTTTTGCTTTTCGCGGCAACGCTGTTCCCACCGGATGGGAGTATGATGGGTTTTGGTCCGGATGCTTGACGCTGCTTGCTGCTGCTGCTTGTTCAATCCATCAAATCCCCTCCCTTCTTTCCCCTTTCCGAAAAAACCCCGAAGTCTCTCTCTTCCTTTGCCCTAGGCAACTTTCCCTTACATGGCGGCCCTACGAGTAGAGTATGCGTTCCTGCCTGCGGTTATTCAACGGTGCGCGCATGAGTGGCTGCCTGCTGGTTGCAGGTGGTGTGGGTTAGGTGGTTCCAACCAGCCGATTGTGATGGTTGGTTGCGCGAGAGGTGCTCTTGTGCTTCCTCCTATTGTGTGTTTTATTTTCCTATTTTCCTATTTTATATCTGCGGTATCATAATTATTTTATTTAGGGCTTCGATTGATTATCGATGCGCCCAGGGGTTATGACAGTTAAAATCAGTCGAGTTATGATGGATGCGATGGGAATACCATACGCGGATTATACGCTAGCTCTATCAAGGGTTAGATACCGTGGTGGGTGAGTGAACACGGAGATATCTATCTGTCCTAGCCCGCAATAACCCTTTTCCGTACATCTTCATTCCCGTCCTCCAACCTTCCGCCTAGATGGGTGGATCCTCCTACATCCTGCTTTCCCATCCTCATTCCTCATGGCATTGAGGAGGGTGAGTAAGCGAACGGGGAAGGGGGAGGGGCATTCCAATCGAGTTCGTAAACAGAAACCCAGCAGGTTGGGATGGGGGAATTACAGTATCTCCATGCCTGGGGATAAATCATACATCCAGGTTTAGTGTGAGATCACAAAGGTGGAAGAAAGGGGTCGCGAGCGTGTGTGTGCTCGTAGGAAGCTCTTGTTCCAAGTATCTCTGCGCTAATAGTAGTACTGGAGAAGCACCTAAAAGGTACCAGAAATGTTACATTCAGAAATTGTACCGGTATTTTAGGTCAGGAAAAATATTTATGATGGAAGAAACATGGCTCGCTATGCGGTAGCATAAGGATACCGTATTGATGGGTTGAAGGTTCGTGAGGCAAGCGCGCGCTCTTTTGTATGGGGAAAAGATGAAACTCCTCCGGGAATACCTGCAGTTAATCTAAAATTGAAGGGGTTTCCTCAGAAAGGGTGTGTGTGGTGCGGAAGCCAATTTCCCTGCAAGCAGGAGCGCAAGCAAGCGCGGTGCCTACTCGGCAAACAAAGTTATCTGCCTGATGGAAACATTCCGAGAGACTATTCCCAAATAGTAGTGGCTAGGGTGCGCTACGGGTACTTGTGGAGGAAGCTATTTGTGGCTAAGTTTCGAGGAATGGTTACTCAAGCTCCTTGTTGTCGGAAGGTTGGAAGCGGAGTGCTAATTTCAGCCCCAGTGGTTCTCCGTTTCCACTCTCTGGAGCTACCTTCCAATTATTCCCAACCGTTCTTGCTGGTAGGGAATGGTTGGATATGACCCCTCCGCGTTGCTCCCCCCCGCCTAGCCCACATTATCACTGGTTATTGGACCGCCGCCGTTTGCCGTCGAGAGCCATGATCACCGATAATTCCAGTTGTTGGCGCCCTGGCCAAATTGTCTCTTTTTTTTTTTTTCCTTTCCGAGGCTTTTTTTCTCCTTCGGATCCATACCTCGAGGGAAATATGGTGCTAAAGCATTGGGTCATGGAAATGCGGGCGTGCGGTGCCGAAAGTGATGAGTACTTTTGCACCTCATCCTCCAGCCTACCACGCGTGACATGAGTAAGTTGGCAGGAGCACTCTTGTGTGGTAGTGCATATCGTAAATCATGGCAATGGGCTGTGGCTTATTGGAATGTGGGATGGGGTACGGTACTGTGATGTACCCGTGTTGTACTCCGTGAGAGACATTCACTGGGTTATGATACATGGGGAAATAGGCAGACGAAGTTGTTGCCTGTATAGCCTACCTTCTCAGTGTATTGTACTCTATGATACTATACTTACACTCCTTCCCTCCTACACTTGCCCCCTCAGTAATGTATATATCGAATATCGACCATTCTGGGATGTTCCTAAAATGTCAGCCGCCTTCATATTCCAAAAAATGCTCGCTTGGCCTCCTGAAGGAGTTCCACGGTCCTGTCGACACAGATAGGTACTTGTACAGTGGGTACCTGTACTATCAATGCTGTGGGGTGCGGTGGATTGATTTTTAGTGTGTGTGTGTCAATACCGGTACTCGAGTACTGTATCCCTCTTTCTCACAACTCTCTCACACACCACAACCCCCTGCTTGGCGTTTGACTGGAACGTGCCCAGACGCCTGCATCCCCACCGGATAGTGCAAATCAAAGACCCCTTACGGCGGGACAGCTTAACAGAGCATTTCTCTATGATATTTCGCTCCCAAAACGAGAGGGAGAAAGGAGGTCCCTGGCATTGGTCAACCACCTTGTGTTTCGGAGGACACGATTGCGCGCGTTACGTTAGCTACCCTAGACCAGACATAGCGTCCAGATATTGAATCTGGCTTCACTTTCTGCGGGTCTTTTGCTTTTGCTCTCCCTCAAGTTCTCCCTCTCCTTTCCCCCTGCCACCCTCTGTCGTGAGTCGCAACACAGCTTTCTTGCTTTAAAGCTCAGGCGCCCCCCCCCCCGGAGAGTCTCTCCTTCTCAGGCTGTGCTTCACACATCAACCCCATTAAACCCCCCCCCCCAAA